ACACTTTTTTTTTCGTACTCAGTCAAGTCTCTAATGTAGGATAAATCGATGTTTTTTGAAAAATTTAGTCATACTCAAAGAAAACTTTCGATATAGATTTTCTAGCATTTCAGAGTATCATAAATATAATCCATAAAAATTAGCTCTAGGCAAGTTCATTATTTCGGAGAATATAAGTTTTAATTTTGCGGAGTTACATCGTTTGTCGACTGAGACGATGTTCATTTCATGAGTAATAGAAAAGTCATTTGACTTTTGAAGAGATTTCCTCGTGAACCGCTGATCACTACACACTGTTTTACACCTCTCTCTGTATAAATAATATCTCGTTATAATATATGAATTACTTCCTTAATGTATTTTCTGGGAAATTAAGTACAAAAAAAGAAAAATGTGTTCTAAAATAGATCAAATAAAATAATCTTTCTGTAATATAGCCACAATGATTATAACGTATTTCACATTTTAATTTCACTGAAATTGTGCTAACAACGTTTTTTTTTTCTTTACCTATATGTTCCCCAAAATCTTTGTGGACTAAATTTTGGTGTTGTATCATTGATATTAATAAGTTTTGGTAATTTAATTGGAATATTTGTATATTCATATTGATTACGATAATCAATAATAGTATTTATGACTCTATATAAAAAAAATGCTGTTAATATTCCAACAATAATTGTCATTAAATAAGATGGTATTGTAATTGGAAATTTTTTTTTCATTATATTTTTAAATAAATATTCAAAACGAGATCGATTTGATGATGGATAATGACGATGTTGATTTCGTCGTCTAGCTGCAGCAGCTGCTGCAACAATATTAGGATTTCCATTTGTATTTTCATTGTTAATACTTGTTGAACGTTTATTGTCGAGTTGTCGACGACGTTGAGTTATTTTTGCACTCATTGTTGTTGTTGTTTTTTCTTTCGTTTTCTTAATTTAATTATTTTACTTATACATCTAAAAATGAAGTTTTAATTGTCAATAATAAAATACACAATAGTGTTTCTTTGTTTTGTTCATTTCAAACGTTGTAAACATTGCACGAACCAGCGCATTAAAGAAACAATAAAACCATTATCGAATAGTTGAATAATCAAGTTAAGAGAAAGAAAGAAGAAGAAAAAAACGTCTAGTCACCATACCAAGACATAAGAGCAAAAAAGACGAAGAAGAAGACACAATAGCTCAAAAAAGAAGAGATGAGATTTTATAGATAGAGGAATGTTTACAAATTTAAAATGTTTTTCGATGAATTACTTTAGCACCTTCAGTATCATATTCGCGTTTTGTTACCCAGATTTTTTTGAATGTATCAAGTGAAGCCAATATTGAACCACTATTGAATAATATAATTAAGTTAAAACAAGATAAAGTAAAATCATTATAATGAAACTTACCCAATCCATGTTGAATACAGACGCTCACGTGGGGCAGAAATTTTTATTTTGACTTCTTTAGGTGCTATTCGTTTTAATTCACCAAGTAGACGATCACCAAAACCTATAATGTTTCAAATATAAAGATATTAACTTTATAAACATAGAAAATATTATTCAAATGAGAATTCTTACAATGCTAATCGACTACGAAGAAATTTCTTTAAGTATCTTCGATCGAAACAATGTTCATTTCGTGAGTAATAGAAAATCTTAGAATAGTTTGATTTTGTGAGTTTTCCTTGTTGACATAACGAAATTTTAATACATTTTTCAATAAAAAACTATGATTAGGTGAAAAATTGACTTTTGATTTCAAATTTTGAATTAACAAAGCTGTCAATGAGATTAATTCATTCGAGCAAATTATTACTTTTCTAGTATCTTCTATCTTGAGATATGTAAAATTTTTTCATGTATAACAACAAATTTTGTTCCTCTTCACAAAAGAAAATACGACAAAAGTCAAAATCCGAAAATCGGTTTTTCATGTGATCACAGGTTTTCGTTGAAAAATCCAATAAAAGCAATTGTCTAAGGTTTTAACTACAGAACAGAATATATGCATACTTATAAAGAAAGACTTTCTCTACCTAATGATAGTGTATGTAATATCAAGTTCTATTGCATACCGTTGAAATATAAACAGAGAACGCCATCTTTAGTTATATTCAATCGTAGTTTCGACGAGGGTGGCGCCCACTGTTGATATCTCAACAGTACGTAATTATAAATCTACGGCAATTAGCGGCGATTTAAAAGTGCGCTTATGCAACTTGGAATATGTATTAGTAGTGATAATCATTATTATTAAATGAATTCGATCAATTTTGCAATGCTGTATAAGTGAGGATATCATGTAACAAATTATTAAGAGTTAGAAAGTAAGTCTGAACATACGATCGCATTATTTGAATAATGGGATATTAAATATATTTTTTTGACAATAGAAATAGCGCACATATAACTAATTATATTGATTTTAATGCTCTCTTAATAAATAAATTATCCTATGTGTTTCAAACGGAACAATAACCGTCAGTATTTTAATAGAAAAACATGTATGTATATGTAACATACGTGTTGTTCAATACTTTGTTAACACATAGAATAGTATGAATGATGAAAAAAAGAATATGATTACATGAGTGTAACGATCAAAAACTTTCTATTACAAAAAACCAATAACATTGTTTCATATAAGCTGAACTCCATTAATCCAATATAGTATATTTAAAAGTAGATTTTTCATTACAAAAATAAAAATCAAGTTTTATATAACGAGAAACTAATCTGTATTATATATTAAATCATCTTTTTTATTTATATAGTACTTAACTTAATGCATATCTCTATCCTGTCAGTCAATCTAGAGCAACGTCACATGTAGAAACTCAGAAGGGAAATAAAATAGGACGGGAAAAATAAGAAATCTGACGTCATTAGATAAAAGTTGAACGCGATAAATTTTCTTGTAATGTAAAATGAAACATACCTCGAAATAATGTAGATCCTCCCGATAGAACGATATTTTGATAAAGTGTTCGTCGTAAATCCATATCGGATCTTTGAATTGAACCAGATAATATTTCATGTATACCTTCACATTCTTCTCCAATTAATTCCGGATTAAAAAGAACTTCCGGCGCTCGATAACGACTTGTACCAAGCTAAAAATAATTAAAATAAAAAAATTTTTTTTTTTTATTTATATTTATCATAATAATTATTCATACTTCAATAGATGTTCCATCAGGTAATGTAAATTGTGATTTATCACCTTGATTTGTTTCATCTTTTTGTGCTGTTGGTGATAAAAAACATACACGTTCTTTAATACTTTTAACTATTTCAAATTCTGCTGTTGTTTTAAATGTATAACCTTCTTTTCTTAATAATAATTTTAAATAACGTGTTACATCTCGACCAGCAACATCATTTCGAAGAATACTATGCGGCATGGCAAATCCTAGAAGTTAAAATTTTATATATAGTTATATGTTAAAATAATTCTTTATTTGAACGCATTTTTTTTTTCCCTTATATGCAAAACATCAATTACTCATCTATAAAACTGTCATAAAGAATTATATAGTTCAATAAATTTAGTCGAATAATGGTTTTATTTTAATCTTAATTAATATTTATAAAATATATCGATGGTCTTAAAATGAAAAGCTATTAACATAATCCCAACGGGATTAAAATGTAAAAACATCATATAGTTGTTGCCGCTAATCGCATGAGATTACTTTATTCTATCTAGTTTAGAATACGTTTCTTTTACCTAATCTTTCAGAAAACGATAAAAAAAATAGTTTAATTATTATAACGAGATGTTATTGATATACGGTCTGTGATCGTATATCAACAACATCTGTCATGATCTACAATGCGGGTAGTATTAATGTGTAGAGATCAGTAGATTCTAAATTTTCGAATCCGAACCCAGTTTATTGATCACTTGCTCGGTCCGGATCTGGTGCTGATCAAATTTTTTCGGATCGAATCGGCTTTACCAAGGTATCTGTACGGAGATTCAAATGTTTACCTGTACACTTGAACACTTCTGTTAGATCGTGTTTTATGAAACAAAAAACAAGTATTTTTTTCAAAACAAGAAATCTATATGTTTTGGTTTTTTCTTTTCAATATAAATCGTTATTTTTGAATCCATTGACATTCAGAAAATTTATCCGTAAATACAGGAAACTCTTAAACTTATTAGGGCGTACTAAAACTAATGGCGATAATAATGAAATACCCTATAGCAAGGTTGAGGAAACTTTCTTAATATATACGCTTATGGTAAAAATAGTACTCTATATTTCATTATACTTCTATTAATATCCTAATAATAAAATCAATACAGAGTAGTGTGGTTTTCATTCTTTAAAAATAGAAAATGAAGACACATATGAATTGTGTATTATTAGTTTTTCTAATATGTGTTTGAATCTATTTTCTAAAACAAAAAAAAAAAACAACTTCCAATATTTAATTACAATATCTGCATAACTCATAAATGTTAGAAGCTAAACTTCAAAGCCATGTGCGCAACTTTATAGGTCTTCAAATTAGTAGTTCGAATGGACACTTGATAATTGAAAAAGTAAGTTTGTTCTCAACAATATTGATTAAGAACTTGACAATTCAATGCGTCTTTATCTCTTCTTTCTAAAGGTCAAACATTTTGGCTCTCTATCTTGATTCTACTTAAGACATATCAAAAAAAGTAGTGGAGATACTTTAATTGTTTAAAAAAAAAGGGTAAAGAAACTTTTTCTATATATAGACTGATAGTAAAAGTGATGCTCTATTTTTCTTCACTATTATATCATTCTTTAACTAACATCATAATTATAAAATTTCAATAGGACCTGTCTAGTTTTGATGTGTAACGGTTACATTAGTTTATATTGCCTTCGATATGTTTTCTTTTCTTGTCGCTTTTAATAACTAACCATCTGCGCATACGTGTATATATACAGACGCATGCCTTGCTTGCATCTGTAGTTTATTAGTATGTTCTCAATAAAGTTAGGTTAAATTTTGACACTGTTCATGTGTGTTTTATAAGAATAACGAACATTTTCGTTGCTGCAATAAAATGCACGCACTACACTTCATATTCAAGCAAGTGTTATGCATAATGAATTATGTTCTGTTTTGTAGTAATGAAGATCCCTGTCTTGGGACAATTGAAAGATGATCTAAGTGGTTTTGTAAAGATTGATAATGTTTTAAAGACCAAGTATCAGCTACGTATTTCTGTATTTTATTTTGTTTCGTCTTCATTACTGTTTGTATACCCCTACATATATATATAGACCGCTACGCATTAGAGGAGACAAGAAGAAAACTTATTGAAATTTTATTATTACGATATTAATTAAAGAATAATGCAATAGCGCAGAAAACTAGAGCGTCATTTTTACTATCAGTCCAAAGAGAGAGTAAGTTTGCTTCAGTTTTCTATAAGCAATTAAAATATCTTCGGAATGTTATAAAAAAAAAACAGCTTTCATTGAAATTTTATTATTCGAATATTAATGGAAGTATGATGAAATATGCAGCACTATTTTTAGTATCACTACAAGCAGAGAAAAAGTTTCTTTAACCTTTATTTACGGCATAGAAGTTCCATCGTTTGAGCTCATATTGGATTCACAAGAAAGTCTCACTAAGACTAGAGAAATCTTAAAAGATTTCGTAATCGTGAGTTTACGACCATTGTATTGAATTTTCGTTTGTAAGCAGATCGAATGACTAGTAGAATCTCTTGAAAGGTTCAGGCCGCAATTCCATTATTTAATTTTTTGGTAAATATATCAATCTAGTCTTATCGAGACTGTCTTGTTCGCCTAATATGAGATTAACAATTTTCGAGTAGTTCACTCGTAAGTAACTTACGACAGTTAATAATCAAAGTTGGTTCACATAAGATCCTGATGAGCTCTAGTTCGTATAGTCTCAATGGTTCTTCTTAAGTGAATTTGTTTATTCTTATATGTTTATTGAATCCTATGATTAATATAAAGGTTATTATAGAAGATAAAAAAATCCACGAGGAGAAAGTTTCAAAACTATATCTGATTTTACTTTTTTTAAATAATGAAATATAAACTTTGTGAAAGAAAAAATATTAGAAATATATTTTCCACTAAACAATGAATGTTGTTCAAGTCTAAAACATTCCGAACATATTGATACCAGTGACGTATCCAGGATTTTTCAGTATGCTGAATCTTGACTTTTGAGCATGGGACCCAAATGAAACTCATAGAGGGTGATGTTGAGTCCAAATGATGGAATTTTATCAAAAAAAATTTG